AAATAACATCAGATAGAACTGTGAATATTTAAAAAAATATAGTTAATACTTGTATCCAAAGGTAGTTAAGACATAAGTTTTAAGCTTTGCTATTGAATTATAATACCTACTCATTCTATTTTTCAATTCTCCAATTACCATAGCCTATTCGGACGCCATCTTTGTCTGCAAACTGACGTCTCATTTTAGTGCCATTCAAAATCCCGGGTGGCGAAATAATGTTTGTGTAATCAAATCACCTATGATCGGAAATCAGAGATAAAGTATAAAAGTTTTCTTGTTATGGACATACCCATTTCGTCATCAATGAGTATGAAATGTCTATTTTTTTACTGTTTATTTTCTAAACATTCCAAAATATAGGTTCTCATGTTTATATCTTAAATGTTTAAAATATTTAAATACGTAAGTTCTTACATAGAAACACAACCACAATATTGTTTCTGAGACAATAAAGTGTAGTAAATACTTTATAAATGAAATAATAATTTGATGCCAATGTTGTGTACTTAAATTTTAATAAATGATACGCATATTCAATTAGAATTAGTTCCGAGGAGGCCCGGGATTTGAGAAGTGACTCTCCGCGTTACTTTTAGATGGCTAAATTAACTTTCTCAATTACGATCACCGGTTTCACATAAAAATATAACTCACTAAGACTATTTTTTTTTAAATATACCATCAATATCAGGTTTCCGGCCCGAAAGGTATAATTACCATCGCCATCCATTTCGACGCGCGCAGCGAAATATTTGGAAATCAATGTTACACGAATCGCGAGCTAACAGTCGTGCCGTGGCACTCGAACAGTGTGGGTGTTACGGTGCCGGAATATTCGCTCGCGGTTCACGTAAGTTTCTAATTACCGTAGCATTAGTTTTCGAATTATCTAATTCCCTTTCCCCTATTTATGAATTCCATGTTTTAATGAAACTTGTTGTTACTCATTTTGAAATTGTAGAGAGAATTGGAGGCCTCTCTCCATGCATTACGTAATATTCAATTATTTTTAATCACTTCCTATCATAAGTACCGTAACACTAATTACCGTTGGTTGTCTAATTACCCTATTTTTTTTTAAATTACCGTAGTATGATAATATTAAAAAGTTTTAGGTATAACAAACAATGTCGCTTCAAGATAAAATAGCAAACATAATATGTTACAAACAAGATTTCTAGATAATTAGACCTTATAATCAAACCAATCAAGATTTTTTTCTAACAGAATGGAGAATCCAAAAAAGACGAAGGTGGACATTTTAGAAAGAAAGAAAATTGCAGCACGCCAGCGGCGAGAGCGCATAAAAAATAATCCAATTCTGTATCTACAATCGAAAGAAAAGGAAAAAGAGAGATAAGAGAAAAGGAAAAAAGAAAAGAAGTTGTTCCCAATTTCGGAAAGGACTATTAACGATCAGAAAATAATTCGAATGCGAAACCGAAAAAATTTTAGAGCATGGTATAATAGAAAAAAATTACAAGAAAAAATGGCAACGTTTGAACAAGAAGTGCTCCTAAAAGCTATAGGTTATGAAGGACATGATTACGATATAACAGATCCTCTCAAATCTCCATCGCCAGTTACTTCGGGAGATATGGTTAGTAGTTCACGGCGGAACCACAAAGAATGTTTTTAGGGACGAATTTTGCTAGCCATCTACTTCTTCTAGGAACACCACAAATACCCTTAGAGGGAATTTCAAAATCTTGTGCTTACGTACATTTGTTGACACCAAGTCTGTCTAAAGCCCTAACAACTTCTTTTGATACAGCGACATCAGTAGCTAGTAAACAAGAAACTACAGTTATCGTCTTGACCAATGGTCGGAATAGTGTGTTCCAAATATACATATGGATAAATGTCTACATATAAATACAAGGAGTGACATGCAGTGGTTAAAACCACAAAATATTAATTAATTACTTGTCTCGAATTCCGGATTTGTGGAAATTGTTTTACTGCATCATAGGATAATGCTATTCACCTAGAAAGCCGAAGTTGGATTTTAAAATAATTCGAGTCGCGCATTAGTTAAAACGAGCTTTTGTTTATGGCTCTTAAAATCTGTTTACTTTGGGGAAAGATTAGTTATTTAATTTTGAAATATTTTATTCATCAAACATTATCATAGCTCCCATACAGATGGACTATTATATATATATATATATATATATATATATATATTTAAGCGCTTTTTTATTTATTTCAAGGCTAGCTTTAATTGGGACGGTTCTTAGCTATGTTTAATGAATGTCAGTACAGCTATGTAATGATCATTGGTTATTGTCTGAGTTCGTGTAGGGAACTCACTTTCCACATGTCCGATCAACTTGAAATTTGATATACTATGGATACCCGAAATTACAATTATACTGTAACCAGTAACATCTATATCCAGTAACATCATTAATAACTCGAAACTACTTTGTCTATTTTAAAGTAGGTTTTGGGTATAATAATAAGCGAGAAAATAAATTCATAAACTATCTATTATATCCATTGTAGTGAATACAATTTTGACGAAACGACGATATTTAAGAATTTTAGTAGGAGTACAGCAGCCTAGTTTCTACAGTCCGTCCAGGAAAGTACTGCCACCTTACCTATTTATGTAATGTGACCATTACTGCGTTCCGATTTTGAAGGGTAAGGGTGCTGGTGAAATTACAGGCACATGGTACTTATCAACTTATGTCACAGGGTGACGGGTGCGGTGACAGTGGCAGATCTTTTAAAGCTCTGAGTGACACTGTAACTGTTATGGGCTGGCATGTCGCTTACCACCAGGCGTACGACTCGTTCGTCCCGTCACTTAGTATCATAAAAAACTAAAGTAATTGTAACAATAGGTATCGTATTCTCACGTATTGTGTATATATCAACGGACAGGGAACGTCGAAAGTTTACAAGCGTTTAACCGATCGTCAATTGCTTTTTTTTTTGTAAACCTGTCTCTTATTGCGGATGCAGCATCCGTTTAAATTGAACTCGGCGATTTCTCCGCTGTTTTCTTTTTTTTTGTTAAATTTAATGTTTCCGTTGAATGTTTACCGTTATCGTACCTATAAAGCATCCTTTGTGGAATATTGACATTTTCCATTACTGCTTTTAACACACTTCTAGCTTCAAGTGTATGAGCTTCAGAGAGTTCTTTTATATTTTCATTTTTCTCGAACTTTGTAGATACATTGTATATATATTTAGTAGTACAGCTTCTTATGCAAGAGCTCGTCTAGAAAAGTAGTGCCATCATCGTACCTATTTCTGCCGCTAAGCGGTAATGTGCACATTACTGTCAACTTTAAATAGCAGGCATAAGTCACATCTTTTTTCGATTTATTATTGCTCATATCGACGATCAGTGCCGCCCTGCAACTATTGTGGGTGGGGTAGTCGTCGTACGACTTGTTCGTTCATCGAAAAAAAACACATAGTCGCTTATTTTGATGTGATATAAAGTGAGGTCATACCACCTTTCATACTTAGTTGTTATGATTCGCAGAATTTATTCTTCACAACAGCAGTCACAACGTGGGGTTTTTCTATACCGCACAGTCTTTTGTAGTGTAATGTTAATTACTTTCAACAGTAGTGTCACTACTAAACAAATATACGATATTCGAAAATTTCCCTTGTCAATTTTACAATACAGTATTTCCCCTTGTTATCAAAACAAAGACTTAAGAATAAAGCAGACCAATGTTTGTCATTGTTCGTTTCATCGTATTTATTTATCTCGACTTTGTGTTAGCTTGTAGTTTCAGTTGTATTAACCAGTAAACAATACGTAAATGTTATAATATTGTACCTACAGTTGTACTTTGGGACGCATCTTTGCATTCTACTTTATGACGTAGGTCGGTTAAATTAACAGTGTCTTATATCGAATATAAATTCTATCCAACTGTGTTTTTATATTTCTCCATTACAACTACTTGAACTTTGCCTTTTTTCTGATCTTCAATCCATTCGTTTTCGTTTACGATATTCATTAAATGCAACTCGTACGTGTTTATTACTTTTTACACATTGAAGCAGTTGGTTAGTGCAGTTTCAGTGTCCTCGTTACAACATTATCAAACTCGTCTTGACGGCGCCGGCGCCTGACAGCTGCGACGGAAATCGAGCCATACCAGTGGTAGTTAATGCGCACACTGATATTACAGTATGCCAAAATTCGCCATTGGGAATCCAACCTTAAATCGTTGCCGTAGTGAGCAATATCGATAAAGGATAATTTATATTGGTTTTTTATTTGTGGTTTGTTTTATAGCTGTGCGTGTCTACTGTATTTTACATCCCGTTAGTCGGAGGACTTTGTATTATGACTTTTTAAAATTAGCACTTTCCTGGCTATGCGAATTACATTATTTATGTTTGAATACTTTACTTCTCTCTCATTAAAGGCTTGAGACTCAGTGTTACATAATATTATGGCTATCAACGTATTACCATCAAATAATCAAGATTTCGCAATATTAACGCGCGTTCAATTTATGCATGACCACAGTATGACTAACCACTCATGTAATAAGATACCCTTATAGGTGTGTATTTTTAACAGGTACGACGATGCATGACTCAATATAAGAGTACTAGAAGCTAATTACTCTTGTAACGGTTCACACAGATTTTCGCGTAATCTGTCTGATGAAGATAACCCAAATAATAGTGAATCACATGGCCCTGGTGCATTACCATGAGCGTTTCTGCTATAAATATAACGGATCTCGTAAAATATCTCACGTGGTGTAAAAGCAAACAAATTACTATATATATTATGCAGATAACGTAATGCTATCGCGTAGTGCAATTCCGTATAAAATTTATAAAATATTTTTATTATTCCTAAGCATTTTCCTGCTAAGCTGGATCAAGAAAATGTTGGAAATATACTAAACTAATCCAATTAAATGTTTATTTAAACACTAGCTGGCGGGTGACTGTTCAAAATACTTATTATATCAATATAAAACACGCATCTTTTGTTTTAGGATACAGTGACGCCTCAGCCTTCTACTTCTTCTTCTTCCAAGACTGTTGAGACAAAAATCGTAGATCGTAACAAGAAAGTGGTAACGAAAAAGAAACAAAATACAATAAACAAGAAAAAGGCAAATGCAGAAATCAAGAACAGGAAGAACGTGATTATTAAGAAAGAATCCCCGTCTAAAGGCGAAATCGACATTGTAGAAAATCCTCTGGTACCATACAAGCCAACAAAAACATATGTAAAAAATAAATCAGTTGAATCGCATATTGCTTTTGAAGAGGACATTAAGTCAGAGAAAGAAATAAAAACTGAAATAGAAATCACAGAAAATGAAGTCGAACCAGAACCTGTCATAAAAATAGAATCTGAAGTGCCAGTGGACAGTGACCAAATGCAAATATTTGCTAATACCGTGGCATTGCAACTAAAAAATTTGCCTTTGCATATCGCCGTAAATCTCCAAGTAAAAATTCAAAAACTTATTGCTGAAGAGAGTGTTAACTATATTAATTCTATTAACGGTAGTAAGCAACAATAACTTTTCAAAAAATACCTCGACTACCTCATATTTGTCTTTATTTCTTTTATTACCTGGTTATTAGCTGTGTAGCGAACATATTGTACCTTACTGTAGTCAGTGCCTTACGCAGAGAAACTTCAACACTTATCTTAAATGTATGTAAAGCAGCTTAATTACAATTAAAGGTGATCTTATTTACAATTAAAATTGTATTTGTCCATTTTTATCAAACTCTCTAATACATCTCGGTAGATTTTAAGACAATTTTCCTTAAACAAATGCCTTAACACTAATAATGTGACTTATTAGTGTCTTGAACGATAGATAGATAATTAAAAACTGACTAATTTCCGTTAGACCTGGAAATGTTGGCCTTAGTACGACTTTTCATATCGGTATTCGTATTGTTATTAGGAGTTGTTTTTTTAAGATTTAGCAACACGATCAGGGTCCATTTTTAATTTGCCTTTACTCACTGATCTATACATGTACCTACGTCTAAATGTTGAGGCCACATCCCAACAAGGTGCTAGCCCAATTCGCTCCAACATTCAACTAGTCTTGACTAATGCTAAATTATTCAAACACATGAAGGCACGCTAATGAATACAAGAATGTGTGTCAAAGGGCCAAACGAAACACTCTATAGATGTCAAGTTCAGTCAAATATTGGGGGCAGTTGTTGCAATGTGCACGCGTATTAGTCATGATTGCTTATGAAGCGAATGCGCAGTTAGATTTCATGTATCATCTGGACGTGAACGTGAATATTTTGAATACTGTTGGACTTCATAATCCAAATACATACATACTAGGGAATTCAATCTTGTTGCATTTCCGCGTACCGTGAAAAAAAACGAAACACAGTAATAATAATAATAATAGCGCACACACTCAACATAGCCCCGCACTAGGGAAACCCTGTGTCGCGGGTGCCATGGACACACATAGACAAACACAAATTACACCCAAACTCACGAGAGAAATAAATGTAGGCCATACAAATACTTCTTCCGGCCCGGGAATCGAACCTAGGACCTCTGCGTGGCAGTCCGGCATGGTAACCGTTTGGCCGCGGAGGCAGTTAACAGTGCTGTATCCAAAATGCAGGGAAAAACGAGACTTCCTTTGTTTCACAAATAGGTGATGTGACCTCTTTCATTGTCATCCCACTTTTTATCACCCTTTTCTCTGGTTCCTAGTCACTTACTTTTGAAATTTTAATTCGTTCTCTAATTCTTCTTCTTCGTCAATCTTACTTTTCTTCGTTCCGTCGCCACTCCCATCAACATTATCGAGGAGAAAAGACCGTCAATGTGAACCTTAACTGCTTATAAAGCTGCAATATATTACATACGAATACAATCCCTTTTGGGATAGTTCACATACGTTAGTCTAATTTGTGAAGAGTGCTTTTAAATTATTGTACCTGTTTTTATACCATTGTTTTTGTTACAGCCTCTTCCTTTCTTTTTTTCTTTTCCTTGACCTGTTCCCTACTGTTATACCTTTTACTATAAATGATGTGGACAGGTAGTTACTTTCTATCATTAGTACGCATGACCCGCGTGAAATAGGGTTTTCGTACTGGGCACTTACATACGTACGCACATATCACATCCCTCATGGGTGAATGGCATAAGTGGAGTTACGTCAATTTTGAATTCAAAGAATTATGCCATTCTTCCACGAGGAAGCGATATCATCGCGCATGTCTCTCTCTGTCCCACCAGACAGAGATCATGAACCTCCACCTGAGAAACCTCCTTCGCCTCCTCCAGTCCCATCAGTCTCTTCATAAACGCTAGTTTCATTCCCTAATTTATTACTCATTAGGCAAAACCCTGTGTCGCGGATGCCATGGACACACACAAACAACCACAAATTACACCCGAACTCACGAGAAAAATAAATGTAGGTCATACAAATATTTCTCTTGGCTCGGGAATCGAACCCGTGACCTCTGCGTGGCAGGTCGACATGGTAACGATTCGATTATGGAGGCAGTTTAATTTGCCAATCTTAGAAATGGAAATGGTCTTTACTGTATTCCCTTTCCAGCAAAAAAAGAACCATCTAAATTGGCTCATAAATGCCGCAACCGCACAAAAAAATACAGTTGAATAGAGGCGAGATTGAGATGAAAGCCTAAATAGATACATACAGGTAGAGAGCCTTCCACTTGCTACGATCCTGACACAAATCTTTCGCCTCATCAACCCATCAATGCCTGATACACGCTCGTCGTTTAAAGCTAGCCTTGACCTCAATAAGTGTATGTTAACTAAATCAGGTCCAGTAAATTCAATAGAATTTCAGGTTCATTGAGTTACATAACGTTAGATGCATTATTAATTGTTTTTGCAAAGCCTCGAACGGCCCTGGAATGGTATTGGTAAAAATCGATAATGTTGTTAAAGGTCGTTTGGTAGGGTATTTTTTGCGATGCTCGAAAGATAGACGTCTATGTTGTTGTTATTGGTAGTTACAAATATTTGGCATAGCAAGTGATTTTTTCCACTACAGTTAACGTGGCCGTACGTCCCGTATTGAGCGGGACAGTCCTGCTTTTATGTTTCGTGCCAGCTGTTCCCAAAAAACATAAAAATATCCCGCTGTGACAAAACTAGTACTCAAGATTTGTAGTTGGTTTAAATTTTGTGATCATTGAAAATTCTTAGTTCTTTTTAATGTTTTTAAACCATGAAATATTTCGTAATTATCATACTCATTGTGTTTCATTCGTAAAACAATAATAAAGTTTCAGGCGACCCGCTCTGCGGGAATAAAATGATGGTCACTTTAACTATGATCAACCAGATTGATGCTAACATTGTACCCTTAATTCGAAACTACTGGTCTACTTTCACGATCGTACTCGTACGTTATAAATACAATAACTGTTTATTTACCACTTGCACAAATTACAAAACTGTATCCTTGTGTCACACTGTTTGCCGTGAGATTGCGGGCTGGTTTCTTTAGAGCTCGTCTATTTTTATATAAAAAAGAAAGATTTCTGAACACTTTTCTCAGAGTGTTTGTTAGTCATAGATCTTAAACGATGGCGCGAGGAGGAGCAGCTGTGTGAAATTACTAGCCATAAAGTATGCCAAGGTAACGCGGCGCAAAGAGTATTGGAATCAACGAAGAATGACAAACGGCCACTTCTGTTTTGTTGTTAAGCTATATTTATCATAATAAAAAAAATACCGTAGTTTAGTACTTTGCTATTGTCGGAAGGTGTATTTTCGATCGAACAAGGTAAAGTAAATTTAAAGAAGCTTCACACGTCGAGCAAAGCATCAGATTCCGGCGTGAGTCGCGTATAAATGCAACCTTGCAGATTGGTACGTAAGAATATTGAGATACTCAACACAGATTACTTCTTTAAAACTTTTATTTTCATTTATTTTCCAAGACAAATCTACATTGCAATCTATGTTTATTATACTCATGGACATATTTAGAGGAAGTTAAAAAAGATTGAATTATAATAACTACATTCTATAAACCACTGACCGTATACGTGGCAGAATGTTTAATCGAAAATAAAAAACGATTGACGACATTATTTTGTCAATTTTTTTTTTTAAATAATAAAGAACGTTCTATTCTTTCAACCGGTGACATAGAACCGAGGAATGAATTGAACGACTGACTGAAATATTCTTTATTGCAATTTAAATAATTACAATTATAAAACAGACCAGAAATGTTACGTATCACAGACTGAACTAATTTACAACAGGCGGTGATATTGCTAAGTATCAATTTCTTCCAGGCAATTTTAAGATAGAAACTTAAGAGTTGGAAAGAAGAGCACAAATAAATACACTACACATTGAATACTAATAATGTATTCATATTTATAATGACGTACTTTTGTAGGAAAAAAGAAACAAAGGAAAATTATAACACTATATAATAAGGAAATACATGAAGGGATTGCAGAGAAAAAACGGAACTTAGGAGTTAAAGAATTTGATGGAATCAAAAGAAGAGGATTAGGTTTAGGTAGAGAATTCCGTAGCCGGATAGCAGACACAGTAAACGATTTGAAGTAAATATCTTAGTTATAAGATGCATCAGAGGACTGAGGAATATGAAGAAAAGGGACAATGTACTACTTGTGCATAACTTACTTAAGTGTTATAATGGTAACGATTACCAACACTTTACAGAAACAGCTCTCTAAATGGTTTCTAAAACTATCATTAACCAAATACGAGTACATTCCTTGATAACCAGGTTACTAAAGCACTTTAACACGAACACAATGACCCTTATTGTTAGTAAATGAACCACAGTTCTATAAATACTTATAAGTATACAGGTAGCAGTTAATGCTATTTCCCTGAACTGTACCCTAAGCCCAGTTAGTTACATTACAACAACCACTAAAACTTGATCGCTGACAAATAACCATTCAGCTGAACGTGTACTAATCCTTTGGAAATTTTCTTTCATATCTATATCTATAATGTTTAACCCAAGCGTGTATGAATGCTCGTAATTGCATATCGAGTTCTTAGGTTTTCGCGATTGTTAAATATTAGGAAGTCAACACACTTTTCGACACGGATCCGCATTAAGCCGGTTTGAAAAATCTTTATGGCCGCGAGCAAGAATGACGCTATGTGTTTCGCGTCGGCGATCCAAGAGCTTTTTCGCTGTTATTGTATGGACATCTAGTGAAATAACTTGTCTTGTCAACTTGTCTCACGGGACATGCGCAGTGGCAGTGCGATATGAAGCCCTGAGTGTGACTGCAACTGTTATGGACAGACGTGCTTACCACCAGGCACGCAACTTGCTCGTCCCGTCACTTGATATTTTTATAAAAAGAAAAACTACAAAAGATTTTTTCATCAACTTAATGCGGTTTCATGTGAATAAATTTGGTGAGGCCCTTAGAATGAATTTAAGTTAAGATACTCAAATCGGGATAAGCAAGCTCTCCTGTATTAATATACTATATTACCGGCATCTCAGACGATACCTTATCAAGACCAAGACCCTGAATTTGATTGATTAATAATTAATACTGATCTTGAGACGTTAATTATATCAATGAAGGCACTAATCTCAAGTAAGATTTTAATATCGAACCCGCACTGGAAACATATGTATTAATACGGCCTTAAAAACGGTTACCTATCAGA